CATGTTCAGGTGTTGCACTAATACCCGGCTTTTCTCACATCTGAGCACTTGATGAGCGCATTGAAGTTTGTTCCCGGTGAATGCATAGTGATCTATTGAAGATGCGTAGTAATACCGAGGAGTGAGCAGAGTATTCGCGGTATAGGTATGAGATGGAAAAGGCAGAAAAAGTATGTAAGGAAAAGGCAGGAAATTATGTATGAAATTTATTTTTCATTGTAATCTCCATGACCTTAATACACTAGCTTGCTCGAGGAACTAACTTTTCAATACTCTTTAAAAATATTTTTCCTCCTTGTCCTCAAAATGTACGTTAGTTGCCAGTTCTTCGCCGTCAGAAAAACGCTTTCCATGAGGATTTTCCCGAGAATGTGGAGCAAGAAGTAATCACTAATCATTTTCATGATTCATTTTTCTCATTTTCTTTTTGTCAGCAATCATTTTCTCAGCAGTGTCGCATAAGTCATCCTGGTCCTCTTTCACCACGGATAACTAGAACAACGCTGATGATAAGTAATGAAATTTTGTATTTATACCGTCAGGCAGTGTCGTTACCTATTGGAAGGCTTTGAATCATTCCGTCACTTCTGAATTAAACCGATATCGAAAATACTTTGAAGATTAGGTCCCAAACACGCTTCAAACTATGTCTTTGCTTTGACCACAAGCGCTTTGAAAGAAAGCGGGTGTTTGCAGCTCAACAGCGTTGGGTAAGAAGGTGGCGTGGTTGAACGGATTCTTCGATACAGGAATTGAGCTGGTGGCGCAATAATACCGAATCAACTCCGTTCACTGTCATCAAAGTTGGAGTCAGTTCGTTTGGGTGAATCAAAGCTGCACACTTCCCACATTTTCAAGGAGTCATGCATTATCGTAACGAAAACGGAAAACAGGAACATTTAAAATGTAATTCTAACCAGAAAGCACCATTGCATCCCTGGAACACAGTTAAACGGTCACATCTGCCTAAGAGTAGACCACAAAGAGTGCTCCACTTAGTAAGCCTTTGTAGGCGTTAAACGCCCCCTTGGAAATCCATCGAGACATCGTAAACTGTGGATGCCACGCTTCTGCAGTGGAACTGGTTTCTCTAACGACTTGCTTTCATGGCATAGAAACATTTTACAAGAGTTGCGGCACTTAGTGAAGTTTCTTCATCGCATAGAATAGGCGCTATTGGTGGGAACCGATGAGTGCAGACTTCTGCGAGCAACGCTTCCAAAGCAGCGGTGAGGGATCAATTTTGAGCACTGTTCCACAGCAACAACCTGAGAAGCCGTAATATTTTGTGGCGGAGCTTCGGCTGCAGACATATCTGGAGCTCCGATCAAGAACATGACATCATACAATGGGGCCAGAACCAAGTGCCAATGTCGTGTTCGCAAGCTGATCCCTGGGAAAAATGCTAAGGCGTAAGTTTGTTCTGAATTATTTTGGAGAAGTGGTGACGGCAAACTAGCGTTGGCGCCATTCTGGTGTGAATGTCATCGGCACAAGAAATGGATGTTACATTAGTGGAGGGGGAAGAAGTTCTTGTTCTTCATGTTCACCTATTTATTGTCTGTCGGAATGGCGCTCCACTATTGTTCTTCACATCACTATGATCGCCACATAGGCGTCCCCTATATGAAAACTAAAAAACAGCAGTAAATTATGTAAGGAGTTCCATCCAGCGCGTAATACCGCGATAAATGCAGCCACTTCCATTCAAATACATCGGTACTGTCGCCAAGATCGGTGCTGTACGTACATCCACAACGGACTTACTGTTTATACGCCTCTTCTGTTTACGGTACCTTGGCGATAACACTGAAGTTTTCTTGTGAAGCCAGCCGTATCGCAAGGAGCGCGTCGGTGCTAGCCAGTGAGCCGTTCGGTGTTGTACGATTAGGCAATCAGGTAGATTTCACTGGCTTCCAGTTATTTCCAGTTATTTAGGTGGAACTGATTGGCAGCCGCTTAGTAAGGATCAACATCACTCCACTCTGGGGTGTTAGCAGTGAGTAGGAAGAAGACAAGGCGCAGCACATAAATCCGTTTCGCTTTCAAATCAGACATTTTTTTAAACTGCATCAGAAAATTTTCATACCAAATCAGATGTTTTTAAAGCAAAAATTGGGACAAGGTTCCAAACCAGGCAACCTGGTTAGTCCGAACGTCTGGCAACATTTGGAAGGCTCGCCTCGCAACGCTGAACGTGGGGACCTTATGAAGGTGCTCAATTCAATCTGGCAGAAGCACTAGAGCGCAGAAGAATTAATCTCTGTGCAGTGCAGGAGACGAGATGGCCCGTTTGTCAGTCGAGAGATATTGGTCGGAGCTTCAGAGCAGCTCTTTGTGGTGAGCCGAGAACTGTAGATGGTGAGCTGCAGTCGTGTACTGGCGATTTCGCTCGCTGGTGTTGTTTGCTTTAGCGACCACTTCATGAGGATCGTTGTTGCTGTCGATCAACGTCTATACCACTTCTTTTCTCTATATGCCCGGCAAACAGTCTGTTCCAAGCAATCTAAGGTCGACGTCTGGGCTCTCTCAAATGAGAAGACGGCTGAAGTATCACCAGTAGACGGCATCATTGTCGCTGGCGATCTGGACATTCACGTGGGCGCTGTGAAAGATGGCTTGCTTGTCATGGAGGATTCGTTTACGGATTACGGAACGGCGATGGTGAGCTAACCCCTGAATATGCAGACATGCATAATCTCGTCATTCTTAATACAAACCTTCGTTTCTCTCCTCATAACCCTCTACAGCGGGTGTTCCAGAACGCGAATAGACTTTGTCCTTATCAGTCGTGGCTACTAAGGAATCGTCACAACACGAAGGTAGTGCCGTATAGGAGAGTTGCCGCGGAACATCGCCCGCTCATCTGCATGTGGAAATTTACAGCTCCCAGACTGAAACAGATCGATCGATGCGGCCTCCAGAGGACTAGGTGGCGGCTGTGACATCTCGCTTCCGATTACCGAAGGTCACGACGGTCGTGGAGACCTGGAAGAAGCCGTTGATTCGATAATCCTGGTCGCTCGCTCCCTACTCGAGGTATGGTTGACAAGCAGACCTGGTTGTGAAGATACGTCCAAACGAAGGTTCGCGAGGAGAAGAGACTCTATCACATGTTTGTTCAGAACAAGTGGCTGATTGGCCGACAACTGGCGGAAAAAACGGGAATCGACCAGTGCGGCAAAAAAAGCCATGGCAATAGTGGAGGCGCTCATTTCGACGATGACAGCAGGAAACTCGAGACGCGCGACGGTGAGCGGCACTCGTACCTACTTGCTATTTTTCGTCACCGTCAAAACGAAGAAATTGCGAATATTTTGGCAATAGTGATGTGAACGTCCATCTTCTGATGATCCGAAAGAGGCTGCTGCAGCGATGGCGCGACCACTTCGAGAAGATGATTTCACCCATCCGGCTATCCCTTCTGCTGCGCCGATCCGTTGAGGAAACAAAAGCGGCTCTGAAGAAGATGATGGCAGATGAAGCTACAGGTCCCGGCGACTTGACAGCAGACTTGTGGAAATCATAGCAATTTCTGCAGAATTATTGACGAGGCTCTTCGACCCGATCCTCGCAGAGAAAAAGGTGCTCAAGGGCTGGTCGTACAGGATGACAATATCAGTTTGGAAAGACATGGGCAGCCCGGCAGATTGCTCGAACCACTGTCCGATTCGCTTACCCTCGCACAGCTGAAAATTTTTGAGCGAATTGTTGACGATCATTCCATGATATCCTTCAACTCCTGCAAACCAGTGTGGCTTCGTGATCGGCTACAGCACTAACGACGCCAATGGATTAAAAACCTTAATTAAAACCGATGGCGCAGAGCTCATGCATACAGAAACACCCAACTATCTAACAGCAATTACGTCCGATGGTGGTCTTAACTAGAACGTGCATGCAGTTGCGAGTGCAGCGTGGTCAGAATGGCGATTTATGTCTGGGATTTTCGCGACAAGAAGATGCCAGAGTTATTTAAGTCGGAGATCTATAGAAGTGTCCTTCGACCAGACGCCTTATATGGTGCGTGCCAAAGAAGTCGAAGCCCGTACCGGTGTTATGAAGATGAAAATATTGCGTTGGACGGCGGTGGTTACGGTTTGGACCGCATCTGTAACGACGTAATACGCGCGACTCGGTATAGCTCCTATAGCTGACAAAACGCGGGAAACGCGCTCCTGATGGTATGGCCGTGTACTTCGCAGAAGACTGACACCTTCTGTAGGGCTAGCTTTCAGCTTGAAGTGCGCCGAGGGACGACCCAAACAGCGCTGGCTCGATTGCATACACAATCGAGAATAGCAGGAATCCACCTCGACCAGACACTTGATCGGGAAAAGTGGCGTCATCATAAGTGAGGAGCGAAACCTGGCACTGAGCGGGACAAATGCTGAATAAGAAGAATGAGAAGAAGTTTTTCACTCAACCGAGTTTTCAACTGCACAATTTCCGCTCTCTCAGACCCATCAGGATAGCAGAAACAATCGCACCACAGAGAACTTCGCCTTACCGATTAAGTTTTGTTAGCGCTCCATGTTTTGAGTCTGGTGCGTACTCGAAGAGAGGAGCTACCGTACCCTTATTTTTCATCACAGCTTTACAGGAACATGACAGTGGTATTAAAAGAGTACTCTGTAAGAACCGTTCACGGTAGCGCTTCGATCAAAAACTAGACTACATCTACATTTATTCTGACACAATTTTAAACTGGTTTCGGATCGATAAACACCATCGAGTGAATTGAAAAAATACACAGATATAGAGGTAGTGTCCCGTATGCCGCAAATCAAAATAACTACTATCTAGTAATAGCTAAGTATATACAAAATCAAGTAACTCTGAATCACGATCGCACAAAAACACAGCGAAACAACGCCAATTTTTTCTGAAGAAAGCCTAGAGGGGAGCTCTATACTAAAGATGCGCGAATGAGCACTCTGAGGGAGAAATTTCAGCATTCTTCTGGTTCGTAAAAAACACTCAACCTATGATGGATGGTGTCATTGCTGGCAAAGAAACGTCTTATAGTGATGAACGCCTACAATTTGTTGTTTCATTTGCTTGACAAAATCGTGTGGATGCAGAACGATTGTGAACTCGCTACCATCACGGACCTGAATTTCATGGATGTCACCGTCGAGCAGAACATGTTCATCGGTTTTCATTATTTACTCTCCTGCAGACTAACAATATAAGAATTACTAGCTAAGAATGGAATTTTCAAAAAATGATCAGTTCGGTAAAGAGGGAGTAGCGTAGTGAAGTGGCGTCACTCATCACGTGTGTGGTCTGGGGACCAGATCCTGGATCGACTCCCGCCAGCGAGGCTTTTCATACCTCCCTGGATAGCTGAGTGGTCAAAGACTCGCGTGGAAAGATGAAATGCGTGCAGAACCCTAGAAAGAGATTCATTGACGGTGAAAGCTCTACTTTCAGGGCTTCTTATGCTTCACACCGGTTGCCGACCTTCCCAGCACTGTCATGTCCTTCGATGTAAGCGGCGACCTAGTAGGCGGTCATGTGTTGGTCCCAGCTCATCGAACGAGGAATCAGACTTGCCTGTGTGCTCGTTTGCTTATTCAACCACATTTTTTGTTATGCTCCATGGTCCTCTGTTCTTCTCAGAACTTTACGAACTCTGAGAAGGATCCAATACCAAAGTTTTGGTGGCTTGTCCTATCACAATGTTCTTTGAGGTTATGTCCCAGATCCAAGATCTTGCTTAAGTTGAGCAAGTAAACTTCCCATGTACATTTTGACAAACGATGACGAAGCTAGTAAAAGCGCGCGACTTTGCCTTGTTTCAAGGTTTTTTCTTACTACAGTATGCAGGAAAATCGCCATGCGTACCTCGTCAAGTCGCTTAAACAGTTGGTTGTTTCTCGAGAAAGGATTCAGGCGACGTTTGTTCACTTCGGTGATTACCTTAAATAATTAGGTGGAAGTAGTGCGCTGAAGTACATCCAAGGACTTCTAAAGGGCGGTTGAGTCCCACAGAACGGTAAGTGCTAATAGTCCGGATGAACTCACTGCAGCCGTTTCAGCGCCTGGTCTCAAAGGTGATGGCATTGATATTGGTATATTTCGTCGATCAGCCGATGAATCAGGAAGAATGTTGGCAATCTGAACATTGGAAAAAAGTACTTTTCGGGGAATATTTATTACGTGAAAATTGTCTACATGACACGTTCAGAACCTCCCTCAGTAAGTATGACGTGTATTCCAAATAAACCGAAGCCGAGGGACGAGAAAAATTCGTGACTCTTTGGTATTCAGTACAGCTATGTGTACAGTCCTCATCATTGCGGACCGGTGGGTGTGGCAGTGCGGCTGCGTTTGGTGCGGTTCGGCAAAATCGTTGTGCACCAGTTTTTGAAGCGGGCAAGTGCATTAGTGTATTATTCCTTCGTATTACTCGCCTTCTACCATTTTTTTGTCGCATACGCATTGCAACAAAAAAGGCTGAGAACGGCTCCAACAATGTGCGCGCTCCTTCTGGCTGACACGCCCCACCGGTTTGCAATGATGAGGGCTGTATGTACTAAGTGATACCTGGAGCACAATCAACATACTAGCAAGTAATCTGAGTAAGCGTCTCTCATGTGTCGTTTATACAGAGAGCTGGAGTGTTAACTGAAAGAGACAGGAACTTACTAAATTCCCTGAGCCCATCGCATCTCGCCTTATAAGCTAGTAGTATCAGTCAATCTTATTGATACTCAGGGCACGTCTTGCTGTTGGGGAAAAATTTGCAGAATACGACTTCCCCCCGCCCACCTACAAATTTCCTGCTCCTGGTACGCCTCCTTCCGTGCCTTATCCTATCTGCCATCCAACTAATCTCCCAACTTCTCTCAAAAAGAAAACTGCTGTTCAGGACGGTGACAGAGGTATCACACGTGATACGGGGAAAGACCGAGAAAAGTCAATAGCCAACACTTTTTCGGAAGACGATCACGACCTTCTCCTTCTAGCAACCAAGCAGGACCGTCCTCGCTGGGGATACACAACGTAAAGCGTGTCCACACTTTGATACATTGGGTTGGCCCATAAGTGATGGCGTTTTTATGTCAGTTGAATTTTTGTGCTGAAGACGGACAGTTTTGTCATTGAATTTTACACTGCTTTACATAGAATTCTTTGCCCTATAAGCTAGTCTTCCTAATTTTTTTTCTTTGAACATTCCGTTTCCACTGAATATCAAGTGCTCCAATTGGAGTGTCTGGTCGACGAAATTGAGCACTTTCAACAGCTTCTCTTTTTTACATTTAATTTAAGAGGTAAAACCAGGGCTATATGCTATGTATATGGCTGAGAAGCCAACGTCTCTCAGAAATGCTTACAAGGATTTGCGCGATCTAAAAAATTTCAATTTCAACTCTCAAGACAAGCATCGAACCTATGTAATGCCAACAGACAATTTATTGAATTTCACGGAGATTCATGTCAAAGAAAGGGGAAATGATAGATGTCTTGGGAGACTCCTTGTTGAGCAATATCTCTACTTGAAGGGAAAGGTTCAAGACTTGATGGATGGACTCTGCCGGCAGTCTATCCCCAAGCGGGCTCCTCTTTTGATGTATATTCAAAAGATCCAAACTCCCTCTCTGAATCGCTTGAATCAGTTTCAAGACGTCCCGAGAAACATCGTTCCTTGATCTTATTTATCATATGTTTTGAGTTTCCTCTGCCAATTGATTCCTTAGATTAACTGGTAAAGGTTGTAGTTAAAACCCACATTTCTGTCGACCGGGCACTCCAGTTCTCTCTAAGAAATAGAAATTAACAAAGACTGACGGACAGCAGAAAAACAAACATACTGTCTTATCGGGCAGAAAATTCTCCAACTCTCATTTTTCATATAACAATTTGTTCAAGAAAGCCATCAGTTATGAGCCATTCCAGTACCTCTAGCGGTGCGTCTTGAGTCTGTGGTTTTTTTTGTGTGTATGTGTGTGTGTGTGTTGTGGTTGTGTGTGTGTGGTGTGTGTGTGCGGTGCGTGTGTACCTCTGTGAATGAATATATGATCAATTAAAGACACTGATGAAATGGAAAGCCTGTTTGGCCGAGGCCAAGAGTTAAACTTAGGGCTACATATGAGCTCCATCAATCACAACACACCCTTACAAACACGACACACACCCGATTCTTGTTCTTGTGTAGGCGGATGCCGATCTCTTTGTTCTTCGCAATTGGTTTCATGAGGCGAAATGTGAGTCCGAAGGGAATAGGCCTCAACACGAGATTCACTGGCGTACCAGGTGTTGATAAAGTGTAGAACATTTGAGGGATGCAGGAGAAACCTTGTATCGGTATATTTTCCACCTAAAACATCACTGGACTATTACGTATTCATGGTCCATAAACATCTACCTAATCATTTGAGGGATTATTAAAAAACTCACCTCAATTAGCTCGTCACCAAAACTGAATAGCTGGCCTAATTGACGATCACTCGCTTCAGACCAGCCGGCTACCCTGCAATTTACATTACTCGGTGAAAGGGGATTTCATCAGCATGCAGATTAGGTAAGCATCCATTAGCGCTCACCTCCCGTGAAATCAATTACTAACAGAGGTTAAATTCGAGTGAAACCAAAGTGCTTACCACACTTTTCCAGCAACTTCAACGAAAAGCACTTGTTCTACCAGTACCGAGAGATTTAAGGATACGGTTCGCGTCTGCAAGTAGATGGATAACAGTCGAATAGGAGTAATAAATAACGTCATAAATACGGCAAAACTAACAGTTAAGTCATCTTGACCCGACCGCAAACACGCGTAATCGCTGCTCGAGATCTCACAGGGAGGATTCGAGGATGACAGTCGTAATTCACTTGATAGACTACTGCTATAAATATCTTCCGATAGTACAATCCTATTGATATATGTAACTATAGAAGGATGAAGTCAATATGTTGAACAAACCATTTATGGGGTGTGGCAAGCGCTCTATGGAGTAGTCTCATTAGTAGTGGTATTTAATCCTTACACAAATATTTATATGAAATGTGGTAATCGTTTTCAATGGATTCTATGTTATTCGAGAGACAACTTGCTGCTCTGTATTAAAGTATGGATGTCTTCCCACTGATTCTTGATTTTTTTTTGTCGATTTTTATTTCATTGAAATGGAGTATCGGGTCGACACAGGTGCGAATTTTTGGCAACAACTTTTTGCTTTTAATCTAGGCTCTGGAATAGCAGAATAAACTCAAAACTTGTGATGTATGAGACCGAGGAACGATGCTTCCTAGGAGGGCTGAAGTTGGTTAAAGTGAGAAAGAAGTTGGCATTCGGACTTTGTAAATGTGCATCATCTGGAGTGCTCTCTTGTGGATCGTCTGTTTGCAGAACCCATACACCATGTTTTGAACCTTTCTCATCAAGTGGAAGTGATGTCCAGCTAAAATGTGGGACCCCTATTTACCCATTATTTGGCATGAATCTCGGCGAATAAGGTGATTCAGTAAGCTGACATTCGCACTCAATAGGGCATTAGATTGACTTGTCTGTGAGATCGAAACAGAATTCTTTGAAACGCGTGAACTGTACAAACCGCTCTAGGAGACGCAGCTTCTTGGCCATATATTTAGAAAATAGGCCTGCCCAGCTTTAGCGTTTTATTTAGTTGTAAGTAAGAGGCTTTCCAAAATGCCTTTTTTTTCTATTTTTCACTTTCGTAGACCTGGCACTTCAACCTGAGCATCTAAAAACCAGCAGAAATTGAATTCCCAAAAAAGTAGACTATTTAATAGAGCAAGAAATTTCCTGCAAAACGTTGTGAAACTCAATGTCAAAACTTCTCATCTTTAGCGCAGAATTTCGAGTGAGAAAAAAGGCAACTACTTATAAGCCAACCCAATACTTACAAGATACTTCCAGTGTCCTTCAGATAGGATACTTATGCAATTACAAATTTAGCATACCGAATTGCAGGAATTTCTTCTGGATGAACTTCTCCCTTCTAAAGTCCGTGAAGTTTCATTGTTACAGTGCTCGACATAGCGCGCTCCAATCTCTGCACGCGACGCAGCTGCAGCAAGTACAGTTTCAAATGTTTCTTCCGAAGCATACCGTCCTGTTTGAACAGCGTGAGATTCGTGAATTTTTTTTTCCTTGACACCGGCGCCTCTGGCGCGGGCGCTATCAGTTTCAGGTCAGGCGGATGTGATATTCTTGTTCGGGAGGTCAAGGCGGACAGGTTTTCAGCGGTTAAAAGTTCTTGGCGCCCGCGCCTGTGGCTTCAGGAGATCGAATTACCCTTATAAATAATTTTTAGCCAAATCTGCTTCCTTAGAAAAAAAGTCAAAACTGGCCTGTTTTCGGATTTTTATAGTTGAGTAGTGCCCAAAAAACTACCTCAGTACTGCTGATTGCATCCTAGCAACCAAAACCTTGATCAATAAGAAGACAACCTTGAGGTAGCACAATATTCGTAGTGTTACTGTGATTGTTAGACAAAAGTTAAACGATAACTCATTAGGCGCTGATTAAACCCATTTGAAGTGATCCACCTATTCTACTTTATTTCAGATTCAAAGTGACGTTTAAGTGGGATTTGGCCGAAGCAATAACTCGCGCAGGCCAGTCGGTGTAGAGCTCCACGTCTTCTACCCCTCCAGGTGAAATTCATGGAGTCATGAAAGGCTTGACTTCACTTGGGTAAGAATAATGCTGTATTCGACCTCACAGCTATGTTGCGTGATCAGCGAGCCATTTGTCCTCACACGCCTCTGCTAGATTGTAAAGACAGTTTCCGAAAATTTCAGAAATTTTCTCACCATAATGATGTCGTTGAGATGGTCGATTCTAGTGGTGACGAGGAAATGTTCGAGGATGATGCGCCAGAACTCATGATGTCGTAGACTTTCTGAGGGCTGTCATACCAGTCCCCGTCTTTGTCATTATTACAACTAACTCGTCCATGACTCGACAAAACGTCATAGGTAGCCTGGAATTACATTTGCTCCATTTGTATCTACTGAGAGGTCACCTCTAACAGCTTACTTCCTCATTATGAGGCTCCTCGTCCGTTGATATCGCATGTGATCGACTCGGGAACGTTTGGTTTGATCGTTGTGGAAGCGGTGGTCGGAGGGTCTGGGATGGAGGAGTTTGTGATCCTCTGAAAGAATTTCATATTTTGGTGAAACATATAGAGATAGTGGTACCTCTAGGAGGCCAACATTTGCTCGCTCACCTATTCAGGCAGTGTGGATCATGAGGGAATCCACCATGCCGTGGGGAGGAATCTGCTGACATGGGAACCTTAAAATGCGATGCGTTGAGTCACAATTAACACTTCCACGAATGAAATCATAACAAAAGAAGGAACTTGACGTGGTAGACCCTGCGGCGTGTTTAGAAGACTCACGCTTTAATATTATTATTTTACATACTATACATAGTTTTCAAGATAGGCAAACTCATAGAACAATGTAATGGTTGGGAAGCAGTAAGAATGAGCAGAGCTATCTATGACACATTAGCCCTGATGGTACGTTACCAACTACTGGTAGATTAGTTATATACAAGTCTCGTATGCAGCGTTAAAAAAAAAACAAAAAAACCACCTCGATCGCGGGCGATGAGCGGTAGATATTCGATGTATCCTCGAGAATCCCGATCGCCGTAACGTCTCTGTAGCACAACTCGCCTACTCTGATGAAGCGTCACTGAAATACACATAGGAATTACTCTGGATGGGGATTTCGTTGCTTGACCTATGCATCATTACACGCAGACCTAATCACAGCAATTATAAGTAGCGCAGGATCAAGCAGGCCTCTCTCCTCTCTCCTAGCGCGGAGTTTATTCCAGCTTTCCCCAAATCAAGTAAATAAAAAAGAGATTCGATAGCAGGTGTCGTAATCCATTTCATTTTGAAGAGTCCCTATACGGCAATTCCTAGTTTCCAAACGAATGCGCTGGCTATCAGAGTGTAAGGAGGCCATCCGTAATTTCAAGTATTTCAACGAATGGCGTGGTGTTCGAAAGAATAACTGAGATGATTTACGGTAGCAGCCAAATGTGGTCAGTGATTGCTTAGAACCCCTGAGTCCAGGGATGAACGAGCGTAGATCGGAGACAACGGAACGCACGTATTTCGCAAATAGAAGGCTCGGGATCTTAAGATCAGATGCATGATGATTGTTCTTTGTGCTCAGCCGTAATTTGATAGAATTTGGAATACAATATAACCAAACCCGAGCAATCGCTAAAATATCCGGCAATTCGAATCACCACTTATGCTTATTCGGAATATCCCCTCAAACAAGGACACAATCGTTGGGGATTCCCCAACAGGCGGGTCGTCTTTGACGCTTTTAGGTGGTTGGTGGGCGTGGGGGGGGGGTCGTAATGAGAGCAGCAGTGAGTACTGAACAGCTCAAAGGTGTCAGTTTGCCTGAGCTCTGCATAGCGATTCTTGCTTCGCAGAGAACCGGACTTGTAGAAAAACACTACAAAAATTAGATTGATCAACTAGAAGTATTAGTAATTGATGACATAGGTATGTAGGTACGTGGATGACCGAACAATACAACCTATAGTCTGGTTGCTGTGGATGATGGGGGAGGGGTGTCAGCACGGCTGCGTTTAACGCCAATGCGGTTTTTTTTTTTTCTTTTTTCCTTGGAAAGCGGCGCAAGCCTGCAACATGTCGTTTGCATCAGTCGTTTTCCACCGATGATGTTGCTCATACGACTGAGCAACTGGTAAGAACAGATTCGGCGGCGTGAAAAAAGGCAGGCGCGCGGACTACGCCCTATCATTCGCAGCGAACTAGACTGCAAAAGAGTGTGTAGGTAGGCAGCCGATGGATCTTTCTGAACCCTATGAATACATCTGCGTAAACAGATATTACGTACAAGTTGCACCATCCTACTAGCTCTGCGTGGAATCCTAATGCATGACGCATTCAAAGATGAAAATGGACGCTAAAAGAGTGCCTCTGCCTACTTCTGTTCCACGAAAGGAACCACTTTTCAAAAGGAACCAAAGGAACCATAATTCATACTTGCGTATTCAAATACGCCCACTCGAATGGCACCAAGGAAGGGGTTCTTTGCGCAGCTCGAAGTTTTCCCCAATAAATCCCCATCGCAGTCACCTTATGAACCCCGGAAAAGTGAAGAAAAGTTGAGTGGTTTTCAGAAAGGAGAAATCTCCCTCTCTCCAGAATTGCTTTTATATATGGAGACAGTTGCGCTGGTAGAGAATCACAATCTTTCAAAGCAGAAAAACTTGCACCTAGTTTTGAAAATCCCCGAATTTTCAACGCTGAATACTCTCTAATTAACCTTTATGTAGTTTCAATACTTTTCGGTGAGCTCGAATCTTTTTCTACACAATCGCGTTTTCCTTGTCTAGGAAATTACAGCTTAAAGACAAGTCGCTTCGCTTGAGGGGGTCTGGGCAAACGCGCCCTAAGTCAAAAAGACGGAGGTGCGCTCAGTATTCAACAAACTCGGCTGCCACTTGAAGTTCTCTTCCGCGCGCGACTTTGAACACAACAGTAAATGGGTTGGAGCGTAACATCCTGTGCGGTGTAGATCCACACGCACGCATTCTCTCTAATAGTGGCGCCTGAAAGTGTGTCTGGAAACTGTTGAAGATTCCTGACCAGCTTAGCTAAAACAGCAATTATAGGAAATAGCAATCCATCGCAATAAATATCGTCTTTTCCATTCGTTTTAAGCCTTGGCCGTACGTACGGCTTTCCATAAGCCACGGCATTGTGATCATTGTAAGGTTTCTTGATTGAACTCCACACGAGGTTGTCAATTCACCTTAATTGGCTCACGGTTCGGGGGGATCGCCTTCATGACAGCCCCAACGGATCAAAGCGATTTATGGCTACCGGCCAAACGTCTCCGTTACCCCACTGAGGCTCGAGAGCATCACAGATCATCACCTAACAAGGGATGGATGGTAGGTCGAAGTGGTTGTTTGAAATGAAATGTAAACCTGCTGAAAGGTCTTCGAACGGAGCCGTCTTCCGTTCTGCTGCGGACCTCACAGAAAGAAATAACGAAGCTTTCAAAAGGGAGAATATTCGCATTCACTACGAATCGGCGGCGTAAGGCACATGCGATCGTGACAGCATGGCCGAGTAGAAACGTGGTAGGGCTAGCGAATGCGTTGTCTAGGGTTTGGATCCTTGATGCGTGTGCTTTTCGCATATTTTCGAAAGTGGTCCCTGTGCCAAGCGACTTTGCATAACTCTAGTCCTGACAATGTCGTGATGTGATGTTTCTGAACTGATGGAGCCATTGCGAACGATTTCATAGAGATCACTTCTGGATGAAGAGACTGTCATACGAGCCGAAAACATCCAGCAGGTGCGAAACCACTTTGGGATAGACATCATTCAACACCATGTGGGTGATGAATCAAGGTTTTGCCCATCACGATCTCCAGCATGGTTGTCACATCAATTGCCATGTCACTTGAGATCATTTTCCAACTATACCGATCTTTGCGCACAACCGTGCGGCTTCAGATTTGGTTTCCAGACATGTCATTTGGAACGGAAAGTCCGCGCTGTTTGTCGACGGGGGGGGGGGGCATTTTGTATTATCATTGCTTCCCTAGTTCCGGTTCACAAATCTCACTCTGGTAAGACTTGTGAACTCTTATGAAGCCGAAGTAAGATCGTCTAGCCACTACCTTAAAACGTGTCAACTCGAGAAACGGTTGCCTAGATGGGTCGACACATCTTTGGAAAGCAAAATGCCCCCTTCGACAAATTGCGCACAGAAAGTCATTTTCAGGGCAAAATCATCCGTTGGAATGCACTTTTGTTGTGTATGCTTTTCAAATCAAAGGAAGACGAAGTCAACAGCCAGAAAATGTTCTCCATTAAATCGTTCGCGATGGCTCCTTTACTTCAGAAATATCACATCACGACATTATCAAGCACAAGTGTTATGCGAAATCGCTTCGAAGTGCACTGGGATCACTTTCAAGAAAAGCAAGAGAGCACAAGCATCAAGGATCCAGACCGTCGACCACGCATTCGCTGATCTACGACGTATCCACTCGACCATGCTGCTACGATCTCATGTGCCTTACTCCGCCAATTCGTACTGAATGCGAATATTTTCCTCCTAAAAGGCTCCGTGACTTCTTTCTTGAGGTCCGCAGCAGGTATGGAAGACGGTTTCGTAATCCTCGTGCGAAGACTTCCCAGCCGGTATATATTTCATTTCAAACGGCCACCTGGACCTACCATCGTTCCCTTAGTGTGCACCGCAACACAGTCCGATCTTCGAGACCAGCAAGCCGACGGTTGGACCTCTTCGGACTGTTCTTTATTCGGGGTCACTCTTGGAAGGCCATCCTTATATAAGGTCTCAGTTCGAGTTATTGCGACGCATTCTCCCCTCCAGTTCATTTTTGGATTGCTGACATCGATCCAGAATGCCTCGAGGATTTTCTGCACGGATGTTTGCGATTCTCCCCCTAAGACCTCGACTCATATTAGGTTGTCCGGAAAGTTCTCAGCGTTTTGGGTGTTTCACTTTAAACGATCGTAACTTTTTTAATACTCATCGGATTTAATCGAAATAGGCACCATTCGAATCAGCACACTTTTGCCAATGTGACAGCAGTCGAGAAATCCCATCAAAGTGAAAAACTGGGTGGTCGAAAATTAACGAAATCCACTAAGACTTTTTTGCCTGGTCCTGATTGATGAAGTATTTTCCAGCAATGGATTTTGAAAATGTTAGAAAAGGTGATGGTCGGTTGGCGAAAGGTCTGGGAGAATATGGAGGTTGAGGTAGAACTAATTCGTTCAATTTATGGATAGTGATTTGTGAAACGCGCGGGCGGGCGGTTTCATGCAAAGGAATCGGACCCTTCTTTTGATAAGATGTTGGCCTGCATCTGACAAAATTTTCGGTACAATTCGTCGATTTCTTCACCGTAAGGTTTTGCTGTGATGGTTTGGCCTGGTGATAAAGAGTTGTAGTGGATCACACCAGCCGATGACCGCCAAACCGTGACCAGAATCTTTTTTTCGTGAGGGTTCGGCTTTAAAAATTACCACGGTGGTCCGTCGAAATCCAACCACTGTCCGGAACGTATCATGTTATCATACATGACCATTTCCACAGGTGACAATTCGGCCAAAAACAGGTCGTTTCTGCTGCGCAAAAGCAATGCAGAAGGAACCTCGAGACGTGCCGATTCCTGCGGGTCACTCCGGTTGTGGGGCACCCAATTGTCGAGTTTTTTCACCTTCCCAATGCGTTCCA